TAAAAAGTTATTAATAGTACAAGTTTATTTTGGTTAAAAAAAAAACCTTGAAATCCATGTATAGCTTTTTCATAATACAAATTTTCCAATGAAGACCAATTGTATTTTACTTCTTCAAATTATAATAAAAAAAACTTCTCTCCAACAGAGTTAGTGCAAGCCATAAATAGATTTTGAAGGTTCCATTGAAATTTTTAATCTTATTTTTTATTTTTAAAATATAAGGTCTCTTCATGCTACAGTTAAGCTGCCTCAGCTGAGACTACAGGTTCATGCCATCGCACCTGGATCTATGTTTTTCAGATAAGAACTTGCTTTATTGCCCAGGTCAGCTCACTTTCTTCCTGCTTCTGCCTTGTTGAGTCATTGGGATTATAGGGACATGCCCTCATGTTCGGTCCTTAAGTTGGACCAGGAATTGAACCCAAGCCTCCCATCTGGTCCCATTCTGCAGAGCCAGCATCTTACCAGTATGCACCTCTAGGGTTGGTTTTGTGTGTGTGTGTGTGTGTGTGTGTGTGTGTGTGTGTGTGTACCTGTACTGTACTGTGTGATTTTAAATATAATAGGAAACTGCATAAAATTAAGTGGTACAGTGTGTAAAGGACAATACAGAGAACTGTAAGATACAGGATCTCTAACTTTTTCCTCAAGGATAGAAATATATATGTGTGTGTACACACACATACACACACACACACACATATATACATTTTTCGTTTGAATCACATCTACTATACTAAGTACTTTTTACGTTTGAATCACATCTACTATACTAAGCACATCTACTATACTAAGTACTAGGATATAAAGAGGTTATCACTACCCTGTAAGTTTTCACAGAAACATCTAGTATCTCTATCATTATTATGCCACCACACCAACTTGCCCTCACCCATCTGTATTCTCAGCTGCTTCCAAAGAATTGACTTTTCTATAAATATTATATATAATGTGTGTGTGTTTGTGTACACACACATATATAATTCTATCATTGAGGAAAAAGTTAGAGATCCTGTATCTTACAGTTCTCTGTATTGTCCATTACATACTGTACCACTTAATTTTATGCAGTTTTCTATTATATTCAAGATCACACAGTACAGTGCAGGTATTCATTTATTCATTTACTCAGCAAATATTTCCTGAGTTTTCCTAAGGCTCTGCTCTATGCATGGAGACACAGAGACAACCAAAGCAATGAGCATGGTCTTTCTTATGAGGCTTATATTCTACCAGGACCCATTTTAGGCAATAAGAAGACATTACATTCTAGGAGTGAACTAGATCCATACTCTTAGTTGAATTTTATCTCACTGGACCAAGTGGTCTACTGACTACACTGTAACATGAGGAAGTTTCAAAAATCCCATGGAAAATACATGTTATAAAAAAAAGCTATGTGTGGATTTTAAACATTTTTTGTACCAAAATAAAATCATACTTTAATTTGCTTTTTCTGTGAACTTTTTAAACTCCCCTTATATATCAAGTAACATGTATAAACAAGATGCGAACATAGTAATCTGCAGGCATCATGAAAAGGAAGAAGAACATGGGCTCTAGAAGCAAAGCAGACCTGGGTTCCAAGTGTGGCTTCAGCAACTTATATACCCGGTATTGAAGCCTCTAAACTTCAGTTACTAAATTTAGCAAAATCTACCTAGAAATATCAGCATGAGGATCAAATGAGATAGTTATGTATAAAAACACCAAGCAAGGATCTAGCATAAAGTAGGGACTTAAAATCATTCTTCTTTTTCTCCATAATCAAATATGAATCTTATCTAACAACATCACAGCATACATAAAAGGCTAGATTTCAGATTTAGTGGAGATCAACTATAACTAGTTTTGCCTTAAATCTCACCATAAAGACTACTCTCATAAATTTTATCCTATTTTGTACACTTAGATCTGTTCCTTTTTGGATCAAAATGGCATTACTACTCTTTTGAGTTTTTCATTGCAATACTAGTCTACATCTTTGGACCATCACTCAGATATACATGAGAGCATCACCAAGAAATACTTACATATAATAATGAATCTCTCTACTCATCTAACTATTAAGTGATACAGTAAGCCCACAGGCAATAAGTTCAGCCACCATGCCCTTCCTCTCCAAACTCATTTTGTTTCCTTCTCAGCTAGTTCATAATAATCCAACAACACTGCCTTCTTTTACCTCCTTAACTCTACCAGACTCTCCAGAATCTAGGCATCATACGATATTCATTGCCCTCTGGTCACCTGGTTAATGGCTAATCAGGTTTCTCCTTAGTATCTGGTCCTCAAAGAAGCCTTCTCTGACAGACGACTGTCTTAGCATAGGGCACATCACCTGTGTAGGGTAATGTGCTGAAGCTTCTTAATGACAGGTAAGCCTGGGTTCCAGTCGGTCATCTGACAGCATGGAGTTGCACAGATACATAGCTGTGCAGTTAGACAAAAGTCCATATATTAATAATACCCTGCATTCTTCTGCATAGCTCTTTTCTTTTGTATATAATGAACATCTTCTGTTAATGCTTGTTTTCCCCATTTGACAGCATCAAGAGGACAAACACTGTGTCTGCATAATCCCCAGTGCCTACCATGGTTCCTAGCACACAGTCGGGAAACACATGTAACAACTCTTCACTGCGTCACTGAAAGACATCATGCGTCCATCTTACTGATACTGCCTATGGGAGTTATGTTTACTTAATACATTTAAAGTATATAAATCAACATTTGGTACAGAGCAGGTATTCAATAAATACTATTATTTGCTCACCTAGAACAAAAATTATCCAAATAGGATAACATGAGACAAAGGCTGTTATTGAGTGATAAAATAAAAGACTGGTGACCAGCAATTGGCATAATGGCTATGTCGCTGAACTCCCATGTAGTCGACCGTGGTTCGAATCCCAGACCTGGTGGCTTAGATTCGCGCCGGGCGCATGTGCGTGCGTGCCCAAGGTCCCAAGAGGAGAATGGAGGAAAAGGGATTACAGTGTGGTCATCCCCCCCGGGGGGTGATTTCTCGCTATCTGTCTCTCTGTAAAACCTCTAAAACAAAACAAAACAAAACAAGACTGAGTATATCCTATGTGGATAAACCTGTTAGAATATAGTGCAATATACTAAAAGAACTACAATAACCCTCATCTCAGCAGTTTTTAATTTAATCCATTTTAGCATTTGCACATACAAATTTAAAAGTCTCAGATCTTTTCACATATTTCCAACTGAGTTCAGTGTTTTTAAATAAAAGCACTCATAATACTGCCTTCATCATGTGATTCTATGAGACACAGCGAAGAGAGGTATGTCCACAGTCCATTCTCTTAAAGAGTGAAAAGAAAACTGGCGTCCTTGAACTTTTTTTAAAATATTTGTTTGTTTATTATTACTTCTATTAAGTTTGCTATAGGGCACATGTGCTCACCAGAGAGAGACAGAGAAAGAGAAAATGTGAAAGCAAGTCACCAGGTCTGGGACTCAAACCATCATTGGCCATGTGGGAGTCCAGCACCTTCACCACACCACCACATTATGCCATCTGCTGGTCCTGACCCTTATATATCAAGACATTAAAATCCCAAAGGCTGGGACCAGCGAATTGTGAAATGGTTGTATCACTGGACTCCCATGTAGTCAACTGTGATTAGAGTCCTAGACCAGTGGCTTAAATTCACACCAGGCACGTGTGTGTGTGTGTGCCCAAAATCCTGAGAGGAGAATGGAGGAGAAGTGACTGTGGCATTGCCATCCCCCTTGGCGGGGGGGAGGTGATTTCTCACTTCCTGTTTGTCTCTCTGCTGAGCACAAGTTCCATATAGCAAAAATCTCTCTTAAAAAACTAAAAAATAAATCAAAGGCTCCTGTGAAATTAATAAAAAGAGATAGACAGACTCCAAAAGAATAGACTGAGGCCATTCTACCTCGGTTTATCCCAACACAGCCACAGTATTTCTTGAAGAATTAATTGAATAAAGTGATTCAAGACAGGAACATCTATAAGAACAAGTTCTTTAGCTTATCAATTGTTTGTTTTGAAATGGATACCTTTTAGTATTTTTATATTTTACTAGGCTTGATTTTTAAATTTAGTTAATGTCATTCATATTGTTTTCCTCAAGAATCTATTCTTTGATACAACCAACCATATTTTTGCCATCTTATATAGATGCAGGAACTTCCCAACCTAACATCAATGGAGAAATTCTTCTATAAAAGCAAATAAGTCTTTCACTATCAGAATCTCATGAATAGGACAAATCAAACACAAGTACACCTGAGGCTCTAAGAAACACATATTTAAATATATAACTATTTATATTCCAGAAGGATAAAGAAACCATCTACTGTGAATACATGTCAAATGAAGGCACATTGGTAGAAATGAACACTTGTAGTCTAGTCTAGTCAATCATCCTATTTTCTAGAAGAAATATTCCTAGATCACACAAAGATGCCTATATTAAGCTTGAATAAATATGAAAAATACATTCACCACATGATTTATTACTTCTTGCTAAAAAGATTTCTCTTTTCCATGAAGCCATACTGATATTCAGTCTTGAGTATATTTGTAATGAAGACTTTTTACTTTTATAAGTCATTTCCTTCCTCTGGTTTCTTTCTAAAATTGATTCAAGTTTGGGATCAGCACTATAGCTCAGTGGTTTGGGAACCCAGATCCCTCATGGCCAAATGTGATTCAAATCTCAGCCCCAGCAGCCTCAAAATCATGCAGGGCACAAGTTCACACAGGCCCAGAATCCTGATGGGATGGAGAAATGGAGGACAACCGATTGCAGGTGACTACGTCTGTGTTTTCTCCCTCTCTTTTTCTGTCTCATTTCTCTCTGGTGAACACATGCACTTTCTGGCAATTATTAAAAAAAAAATTAATTCAAATTTAATCCTATGGGTTAGGGTTAATGAAAAAAATCCCTATGGGATATGTAAGAGAAAAAGTTATAACTATATTAAAGAAGGATACCTACCTCAGGCCCTGTGATGTGCATCAGACCAGAAACTGCACAGGCAACAGCATCATAACCAGCTCTCTGAGACATTGGACCTGTCTGACCATACCCTGAAACAGCAAGAACAGACACATTCAGCACCACTCAGAGTATGCAAAAACCACTGTACAATGGTGTATTAAAACCACTGGCCTCTAGAAATATTTTAACTTTTGTTTATATTAGATCTATACTACCCCTTAAAGGAAGCAATAAGAATTAATTATGAGTTTCTACTCCAGAAAGTCAAAAACTGCCAACTTGAGGGCCAGATTTCATGAAGGGGGCAGGGTGGTTGGTTTTGGCCTACAGAATGTTTTTAAATTATTTTATTTAGTTCCCAACATAAAAATCCGGAGATAACACATAAGATGGAAATTTCTGGCTTTTCCTGAAAAATTAGAATATAAATTCAAAACTAGGCTCACATTCTCATCAGTAACGGGCAGAGTTGAGTAAAACTTTCCCCTTTATTCAGGCATGAATTGCTATTTCCCACAGTCCCTACCACTCCTTACTGTTATAGGTCAGCTGTACTGACTCATCCTTTTACCCCTCAGATTTGAATAAACACATGCTACCCTTAATCCACATACAATAAAATACAAAGTAAAGCAAAGCAATGTCTCCCTGAGTTCTACTTACATATTTTCTCAATGCAAAAAATACATAGGTCTGACCCCATAATCTAGTTTTTAACAGAGCAATGAGCAACTACAGTTCTAATCTTGGCACTGGCAGCATGGGAAACACGCCAGGTACATGTGCTTGTATGCTCAAAATCCTGACAGGATGGAGGTGAAAGGACTATAGTGTGACCATTCCCCATAGGGGGAGGTATGCTTTCTTCCTCACTCTCTCTCTCTCTTTCTCTCCCCCTCCCTCTCTCTATTTCTCTGTCTAATAAATCTGTCTCCCAATCCTATGAATCAACTGGAGAATAACCAAATAAGGGCCTTCGAGCTATTTGTTGGCATTCCCTGCATATTTTGCTTTATATCAGGAAAAGGTTGCCAAGGGGCCTTGCTCTCCAGTCAACTGGGATGTTCTCCTTCCATATGCGTCAGTTCCTCACACCCTCCCTGTGTCCACTTGAACAACCTGAAAGATGGACTTTCTGTAGTTGACTAAAGTTTGACTAGTGTGATTGGCTGTAATTTAGCAACCAACTCAGAAAGACAGCCTAACATGTATGATTTTGGCTTATCCACAGGAATCCAAGTGTGAGAGTACAGTGGCCATTTCAAGCCAAAATAGTTTAGTTTAACACTGCTGTGTTACTGTCCAACCCCATAGGTCCATTTTTCCATGAACTATTGGATGTCCCCACATGTGTATGTGTGTACATACATACACATGCTCATATACATACACAAACACACTTGGGCTGCCTATGCAGCCTACCATCCAGCTGTAACCAATCCAGTTATTTCTCTACCTCATTCCTTCACTTTCATTTTGGTACATTGCTTTCCCTTTCCAGGAGTTGATGCCAAGTTGACCATGAGGCTATCTGGAGTTGCTTAGAAGTTGATCCAACAAACTGCCTGATTCAAATTGTGTTAAATTAGATCAATAAAACCCCACTAAATTAAATCATCTGTTTTCTTCACCTAACATCATAAAACATGGCATGTGAGACTGACCCACATGAGAACGCTCTTGGTTCACATTTCAAACCTCCAGAGTGCACCAGACACGCATGTGCTCATGCTCTAAGGCTGACTGACGCTGGGTGTGGACCATGGCATCAAGGCCCTTTGGGAGGTACTCCTTTCTCTGTGTCTCTCCCTCTCTCTCTTTCTTTCTCTGTCTCTCTCATCTGTTTATGAAATACATACTTTTTTAATAGTTTACTTTGGCACAAAAAAATTTGAAATCCATGCAATAGTTTTTCATAATATATATTTTCCATGACCTTATAGAAGACTCATTTACATATTCTGTAATATGAGTCAAAAATTATTCCACTTTCACCTTACGCTTACCTTAACTATTCGAATACTGACCACCAGCACCATTATTAAATAGTTATGATCATTTTAAAAGTTTTAAAGCAGGGAACTGACATTATCAAAACAGTGGTTTTACAAAGATAACTTTTTTGGCAATGTGCAGAATGGAATATTTTAATGATAATTTAGTAAAAAGCATGAGATTCAGATATTTCTTTTTAATTTATTATTTAGCTTTACATTTCCAAGAAAATCTCTGAGCAAAATCTGAATTAAAGAAAATTTTAAGCACATCAGTTCTATTTTATATTTAGGTAGAGGGTAAGAAAAATTAAAGAGGTTATGGAGAATCAGAGACCACACACACCCACACACACATATCCTCCCCATCTGCCATCTCTCTCTCTCTCTCTCTCTCTCTCTCTCACACACACACACACACACACACACACATATTTATTCACATTCATTTTAAGGAGCAACCTCGCCACCTTGTGGCATTTGTGAACATTGACTACAGAGCCAAACGGATTTCCAGTAAACATGTGCCCAGGAGGTAGCTGAAGAGAAAAGATTTTTTATATCCTGATATTTACCCTGAATATCATACGATCTGGCCTCACCACCCCTGGATTTGCTCATTTTTCTTCTTAATTTTGTCTAACTTTACATCCTTCTGTCCTTATCTACAAGCTCTAAGAGAGCTAGAGTTAACATAGGCATTCTTGATTTTTTTTTTAATTTTTTGTGTTTTAATTTACATTTAATCACATATCTCTACAGTATACAACATTTCTCTTTCAGCACGAATACCATGCACATCAGTGAAGGAAAAGATATTACTATATACATTGTCATCAGCAAACAGCTTCTCATTTTCTGTCAATCAAACATACTTTTACTTTTTTTTTCATTCTCCCTTTCTCCTCCCTCCCTTCCCTACTAAACTTTTTCTTCACATTTTATTGATTCACAAAAGATCTTAAACTAAAAATATGGACAAAGCTAAAATCTAGTGACAAATGCACTGCAATTCTCTTCTGAAACATTTTTTTTCTCTCTCCCCCCTTTTACTAAAGAGAGGTATAAACAAAATTACTTGAAAAAAAAAAAAGTTAGTCTCAGTTTGGTCTGTTATTTGCTCAAAGCCCCAAAAGAACTCAATATTTGATGCAAGGCAACGGATACTAGTGTATTATTGAATTTATGCAAATAACAATTCTGCCACAAAATAAAAATTCTTAACAGATATTTTCCAACTGCAAAGGGGTCAGGAAGGGAGAAAAGTTTACGTTTCAATTAAAAAAAATTAACAAATTCCTGAATCTATCAACAACTCACAAGAGAACCCAAATCCTTTAAATCTGGAAGACAATGCATAGAAGAAAATCAGTAATGTTTTAGAGAAAAGTCATAGTATTCTATTTCACCAGTTCGGTTTCATGTAATCTCTCTTTTGTTAAATTTGCAGGGTAACTGTGGTCTGATCTTTCCATTTAAATCCTGTAAGTTAACATTCAACATTATTATTGATATTTCCAAATTTGTCCCTGCCATTAAGTTGGTCTTTTTCTTGGTCATTTTTTGCTCTCTTATTTCTGTCTGTCTTTAGTTTTCCTGGTATAGCACTTCCTTAAGAACTTCTCAAAGAGTGGGTCTGGTGTTGATAAATTCTTTCAGATTTTGTTTATCTGAGAATGTCTTTATCTTTTCTTCCCACATGAAGGATCTTGCCGGGTATAGTATTCTTGGTCGAAATTTATTTTCACTTAACACCTTGAATATATTTTCCCATTCTTGCTTGCATTGTTTCCGATGAGAGGTCCAATGTTAGTCTGATGGGATAACCTCTAGAAGTAACTTGCCGTTTCTCTCTTGCCAATTTTAGTATCTTGTCTCTGTATATGGTTTTGGTCAATCTTGCTATGATGTACCTTGGAGAAGATCTTCTTGGGTTGATTCTGTGTGGGGGTCCTTGATATTTCTTGGGTCTGGATATTTGAATGCCTCTCTAGGTTTGAAAAGTTTCCTTCCAGCATTTCATGGAATAGATTATCCATGCCCTTATTAGTTTCTTCACCTTCTGGGATACCGATTATCTAGATGTTTGAACATCTAATGGTATCTAGTATTACTTGTATATTATTCTCATGGAGGGGGGGTATTTTTTATTTTCTCAGTCTTCATGGTAAATTTTTCTAGGTCAGAGGCTCTGTCTTCTACATCTGAGATTCAGTCTTCTGCATGATCTAATCTGCTTTTAATACTTTCAAGGAAGGTTTTGATTTCCTGAATTACAGCCTCTTCTCTAACAGTTCCGTTTGATTCTTTTTGTGGTATGTATTTCCTCTTTCAGATCGTACAAGAACTTCCTCACCTCCTAGAACTTGTTATCTCTTTTCTCCTGTATCTTCAGGAGTTATTGTCTTCTTGCATCTCTGTTAGCTTTGTACCTGAATATTTTGAGAGGTTTTTGCTATAGGGCACGTGCGCTCGCCAGACAGACAGAGACAGAGAGACAGAAAGTGAGAAATCACCCCCCAGGGGGGGATGGCTACGCCACAGTCCTTCTCCTCTCGGGACCTTGGACATGCACACACATGCACCCGGCGTGAGTTTAAGCCACCGGGTCTAGGACTCGAACCGCGGTCAGCTATGTGGGAGTCCAGCGACATAGCCATTATGCTAGCTCCTGATCCCTAACTATGAATATTTTTAATTCTTTACCTGATATTTCTATGAGTTCCACTGTACTGTCTTTGGATGATGAAAGGCTGTTCTTTTCCCTTGGGGGAAAGGTATTTTCTTTGTTTCCCATATTTCTTATGCCTCTGTGGTAGTTTCTGGTCATCTGATATTTCTTCATACTTTCTCAAAGTTTATTCTGCGTGTTAGAGGTGTGTGGGAGGAGATGACCTGCAATATCTCTGCAAATCCCTTTCCCTGATTCTCACCAGGCAACTGGCACTTTTGTTGATGGAACTGAATATTACAAAGACTTCCCATTTTCTGAAGGACAGGTGTACTTGCTGAGCTGTGGGGTTTCAACTAAAAGTTCAGAGGTGTGTGGCAAGAGATGAGCTGTGCTCTCTGCAGTCCCGTCTTCCTCCCTGCTG